CATTAGGAGCTTGCTTCCACAATGCAGTTGTGTGCCCTCAAATCCTCTTGACACCAAAGAGAATTCAGGTCTCTCAGTACCTTGTACAGTATATCAGACCCTAGGTTTGTTAGACCTTTCCCAGACTCTTGCACCTCCCTTTTTTTAAATGACTGCTCCTAATAATTTAAAGTGTCTGGAACAAGTTTTTTAGCAACTGAGTGAAAGCACTAGAGACAGAGAGGATGCTTAAAATCCACCTATCTTACAGGAAGGATATCCTTTCAGGTGCAAGATAAATGACAGTCTCAGTGCAACCTTCACAAAAAGCTGCAGCATAATGAGTCCATAAGGCAGAACTCCTTACTACATAAAGCTGAAACCTTTCAAGAAGAAGGAGGTGGGAATAGACTGAGTAACTACCATGGTTTCAGCCTGTCTGTTGTAGAGGATAAGAAAAAAAATCTGTACACATGCTTTCTTGGAATGCACAAATAAGAAGGCCAGCATGATGGCAGGAAAAGTACAACTTGTTTAACAAAACCTATTCAGTTAATAGACCATTGCAATGAAAAAGGGCCACAAAGCCCCTTGAATAAGTTGTTACAATTGTGGGGTAAATGCATTAAGCCTGAATCCTTGTCTTTTGACTTAAATAGAGTTGCTAGGCTAATGTAACCTAACTGGAGCAAGCCATTTGATGTTAGATTACCTACAACACAGTGACGGTCTATTTAGCATTGTTCTCTTGATTGTATGGAATAGAAATAATAGTCGAGAAGGAAGAGTGCTTGGTGACTACAGCAGAAGGTTCAGGCAGCTAACCAAGAGGCATTTTTCTGCTGTGAGTTATCTAGTTGTGAAAGTAGACTACATATTGGTCTGCGGACTTCCTAGGTTAAGACTTCACATTAGGGCTAGGGGAAGATATCACACGTAAGCCGGTTGAAGTGATCGGAAACTGGTTTAAACCTGTAACAGAACAGAAGTTCAGTGCGCATAAACCAGTTTCAAAATGGTCCAAACCCGTTTAAGATAGATGTAGGTGAATGCTATATCAAACTTAACTGATTTAAGTTAAACTGGTCTATCACACTTCCATCCCAGATCAAAGACGTTTATTCTTTGTTTTTATCAACAGAAGCACTCTAGATCATGCCACACTCTTAGTTACTAAATCATAAGCATTAAACACATGATATTGGGAGGCTATATGTGAAAAACATCTTTGAAAAATTGCCAATGGCAAAATTTGTTTGGAGCCTTGTTATCTGGATCCAATTAATAACTGTAAAAATAGAGAGACTTGCATATTTTATCTAGGAACCCTGTTAAATACAGAGGAGACTTACAAAAAGAGACCCACAAAAAACAACTTTCTGAGTTTCTTTCATGGTATAAAAATGGCAGCTGAATGAAAATCATCACATACCCTAACATTTAATATTTGAGTGTGAAACGAAGCAATTTTTGCTGAAACTGATTAAGGAAAATGCAAAATACAGTACGGTTTTTCATTTTTACTAACATCTGGTGTAGCTCTCTGGATCCAGATCAATATATAATCATATCTTATCAAGCAGCCAGCTCCTTTCCCTTTCTTGAAAATCTTAGCCCAAGAAAAGAGAATGAGTAATCATGTGGTGTCTCCATTTTTGGAGGGCCCAATCTGAGATGTCTTAAAGGGAACTGAAAAGTTTCTCTAAGTTATTAACCCCTGTTCAAATGGTGAAAATTAGGCATCCAGGATTCACTTTAGAAAATCTGGACCCAAGAATATAGGAAGTGAAGGAGGTAAGTGCTTAATAAGAACAAGAAGTGTATGTACACTACAAAAGTGTAGTTATGTATTTAACATTTGCTGTTAATACTTTAAAAAATGTTTTTTAATTGTGAACAAAAGGAGCCTGGGAGTAACACTTTTTATGAAGCATCTATCTTTCCTTTTGTACAACTGAGTGCTGATCAAATTTGGGCCAGAGCAGGTATTTCTTTCTAGACTTAGTACATGGACCTTAAGTTTTCCCTTTCTGTTCCTTTTTTATAGACATGTAGTTTTATCATTGGGCTAATCTCTGCCTCTTTGTTATAGCTGTTCAAAATCCAGGTAGCCTAGCTTCACCTTGGAGTTACCAAAGCAAGAAAACCTGAAAATCCCTCACCACCTGTATCTTTTATGAGGACATAGTGATTTGTGCCTTCTACTAGGTACAGGGATATCATCTGAGAGCTAACCTTGAAGCACATCTGCCTTTAAATATTTTACAGGCAGGCAGACAGAAGGGCCTGCCTGTAAAGACAGGCACTGGCTGAGAGAAGCCCCAGTGTCTCCCTCCAGAGAAGCGTAGGGAAGGCGCTGAGTCCATGGTCCTCAGTCAGGAGGAGCTCTTAGAGTTTTATCCTAAAACATATATTATTTAGCCATCTGGGATTGTTTAATGGTTGCTAGACAGGGCAGAATGGCAGTCCAACTGATGAGACCTAGGAAGCATTTCATTACACGTTACAACACGTTTTAATGCACATTTGTGATCTGTGGCAGGCAGTCACCTGAATTTTATTGGGATGTCAACCTTTGGGGTCAGCTCTTATAAAAACATTCCAACTGCTCATTTTTAATCCTCCTGGGTGCTGTTCTGTTCCTGTAAATTAATACGATACAGAAGACAACTGCAGTTCCCATTCAATGGCTTCCAACAATCTCTCCTAGCTAATCCTTCTTTTGAGTTGCGCCCTTGGTATAAAAACTCAATCTCTGCTTTAACCTCTTCCCTTGCAAGATAACAAAAGGGTAAATTGTGTTCTTTGTTTCTCTGCAGTGTTGCACCGATAACATTTTGCCAAAGGGCTCCCTCAAAAATGTTACCCTTTAGCCTGTAATAAATTCTTTGTTCCCATGCTGCTTTGGGCTTGAAGACAGTACAAGTGTGGGATTCTTCCATCCTTTCCACCTATGTTTAAACAGTAATGTGTCCCCAAACCAAGCCAAGAGATGCAACCACCAGATATCCTATCCTGGGTTGGAGACAGTTGTACTTTTGTTTCTTAAAAATATTGAGGGGGGAGTTTTTTCAACATTGCTCAGTTTTGGAGAGATTTTAGTGGGGAAAAACTTGAGCTAACATCGAGCCCTTTTGAAAATCCCAGCCATGCTATAATGTCACATGGTAGCTTGGCTGTTCTGATGAGCTCAAAAACTTGTGGTGGTGAGGATCATCTCTAGCCCAGTGATTCTCACCCAGGATGATGCAGGGTGCTGCGCAGCGTTAACACTGTTAGGTATGCAAACGTGATTCACAAAATAAGCACCGAGCTTTCAAATAGGAATCCATAGTGTTAAAATCATTCTGCCATGTTGTAGTCTGAGTTCTTTGTACAGCACAATAATGATTCTAGTATTTTTCTTTAGCCCAGAAGCAAGTGAGAATTAGGAGCTGGCATTTTCTGAGGGATGCCCTGCGTCTAAAAAGGTTGAGAAACATTGGTTTAGCAGAATATACACTTAAAATACCTCTGGTTTAAGGCAAATCATTGCATTTCCATGGCAAAATGCTTCTTTCAGGTAGTACATAAGCATTGCCCTGTCTGAAAAGGATGATTAAGCAGTACTTAAACAGCAGGCAAATTCCATCAGAAGTAGTGAAATTAGTCAAATTCTCCCTTCAGTTTTGCGGCATCATTTTGACATGCGCTCCTAAATTGTCTCCAGATTTGGAAAATATCCATGAAAATACGGAGAAAGTTCGAAGGCAACAAAATGTGTTAGAATTGGATTGGTGCATGAATGACAGTAGTTCAGCTGGGTCCTGAATCAGTCGGATCTTGTTCAGGGTATACATTGTTGAATGTCATAACAGTTTAGAGAGAGGATTTGCTCACATTTGTTTTTAGGCTCGTGCTCTTTTTACTGATCAGACCAAATATTGAGAAAATAGGTCTTGCATCTAGATGCCTGTTGTATATCTCAGGCGTGATAACCCGCAATGCTGTACTAAGGGTGCTGACTCGAGATTAAATTTACGGATAAGACTGCATTTGGCATGGACGGGCTTGTTCCAAGCTAGATGTCAAATCGTTTCTCCTTTATATGCATGCCATTAATACATTTGTGCCCAATATCAACAGCGTAAGTGAGGGATTCTCCCATCCTTTTCACCTCCAAATTCTCAGATAAAAATAACGCAAAAAGAGTAAACTATTGAAATGTGGCTTAAAGATGGCAAAGCAACCGCTGCACGACATGTGGACTGCATCACTTCAAACACTTTAGGGTTGTTAGTTTTAGTCATGTTGGTCTAAGGACATAGGCTTACAAGGTTCTTGGGGTAAATGTGGTATCTTTTATTAGACCAACTAAATAGTTGGAAAAATTGTTCTTTGCAAGTTTTCGGGCACACACACTTTGGGGGTGTTTGTACCCGAAAGCTCACAAAGAACAATTTTTCCAGCTATTTAGCCTAATCCAGACTAAAGCAACCTTGGGGATGTTTGTACCCAAAAGCTCGCAAAGAACAATTTTTCCAACTGTTTAGTTGGTCTAATAAAAGATATCATGTTTGCCCAGAGTACCTTGTCTGCCTTACTTCAAACACTGCACAGCCATATAGCCCTATGTTACATATGTGTATTGCTGTACAGGCCCCGAGGCCCCGTTGTACAACCATAAGCTGAGTTAGTTCCTGCAATAGGATGGCTGCATTCTAAACAGAGGAGGCAGACAAAGGGTGGGATGGGATGTAGAGGCAAGAAAAAGTGAGGTAATTTGCTGGAGATCGTTTCAGGTTTTTCTAGCTAAAGATATTCCCTAGCAAGATGCCGCCAGAACCAAGATCCAGGTCTGCTGGACCAGACATCAGGATTTAATTTCCCTTTTATAGCCAGCAATGAATTGCCTCCTGAAAGGGCATGAGTGCACCCTCTACTCTTGCTGAAATGAATGGAAAGAAAAGCCCTGAGCATCTTGTACAAGCAGGCTTCAGTGGCTGACTGGACTTGTTGGAGCTGTTGACATTAATTGACAGATGGAAAAGTTTGCAGTTGATATAAAGAAGCTTGTCCAGACAAAGAGGGAAGATGACAGTCGAAAGAATTATTTTTTTATAGGAATGACACATTTTCAACCAAAGTATTCCCCTTCCAGCTTGGTAAGAGATAAAAGGATCAGTATCAGTGTAGTAATCCCCTTCCTTTCAGTACAGTTGCCATACTTCTATTGACTCGATGGATTTAAGCTTGTGATAGCATTTATTATCTGTAAAGCGTCGT